TTCGTTAAAGTGTAATATTTGCACATTAGCTAAAAGCCATCAAGCTTCTTATTCTCTGAGTATGAATAAAAGAACGATTCCTTTTGAGTTAATTCATTCAGATATGTGAGGGCAATCTTCGGTTGTTACTCAACATGGTGTGCGTTGGTTTGTAACCTTTGTTGATGACTGCACTAGAATGACTTGGTTGTACCTCATGAAAAATAAAAGAGATGTGGGTGGAATCTTCAAAAAGTTTTATCACATGGTCAATACTCAATATTCTCTCCCTATTAAAGTGCTTTGGTCAGACAACGGTGGTGAGTATATGAATCAGGATCTTTCTCAGTTTTTCACAGAAATGGGTATTCTTCATGAAACTACGTGCCCTCAGACTCCACAGCAAAATGGCGTCGCCGAACGAAAAAACCGACACATCCTTGAGATTACCCGTGCCCTTTTTATTGGTGGTTGTGCACCCAAGACATATTGGGCGGATGCAGTAACCTATGCTATTTATCTCATGAACCGGATGCTATCGCGTGTTCTCTTTTTTAGAACACCTTTGGCCATGATTGTTGATCATGCTTTGCTCTCGTCCACCCTTCACTTAGAACCACAGGTTTTTAGTTGTGTGGCATACATTCACCTTCACAAAAATCAACGAAGCAAACTTGATCCATGTGCGGGTGCATGTTCCTTGGATTTAGTCTTCAACAAAAGGGTTATCACTGTTTCATCCATCCACTTGACATACGTATGTGACCATGGATGTTACCTTTTCTAAAGACGAATTATTTTTTCCTCTTAGCCATACTCCTCAAGGGGAGCAAACCTTAATCGACGATTATGGCGAGTTCGGTATAATTGAAGAATTAAGTGTAGAAGACAGTGCACATGCCCCAAATAGGCTGCTTAACTGTGACAGTAATAGTCTAAATAGCACCACCACTAGTGGGCCACGTAAGTGACCAGAATCTGCCTACCCAAAAGAGCAAAAAAATCATGATATTGCCGAGAGCCCAAGTGGCCCCAATGAAGTGAATAATGATTCACGCCTCAGGCAAAATCTAGTGGACATTAATGATGACACAAGTGGGCTGAGTGCAGAAAATCTACTCCATTGCCAACTATGTCTCCACTCATCAACTTTCACCGCAATACTGTGCATCTGTTCAACAGATGGAAACCATCAAAATACCCACCAGAGTGGAAGAAGCCTTGAAAGATCCAAAATGGATAGAGGCAATGCAAGTTGAAATGGAAGTATTACAAAAGAATAATACATGGAGTGTAGTTACACTTCTCAAAGAAAAGAAATCAGTAGGATGCAAGTGGGTGTTTACTATTAAACATATGGCGGATGGGACAATTAACAAGTACAAGGTGACGTTAGTGGCAAAAGGGTTTAGCCAGACAAGGCAAGGTAGTTAGAGGCTAAAACCCTGAACCCGCTTGTCGTGCAATAGGATATGTGAATGTGCATATCCATTCCACTAGGATGCAGCAATGCAGGGTCAAGTCAATTCTTGTGGTTAGTGGTGAATACAATAATTCTCTCGTCGCCAAAGCTCGACCACAAACCATCTATGAAGTTCAATAAGCTCGAGAGTGACACTAACTGCGATCATTATAACACCACGTGATATGTCAATGCCCATCAAAAGAAAAAAAAAGAGTAACTAAGAATATCATTTGTAACAAAAAACAGAAGGAATTGAAGCAAAACCTTGGTGTTAGAAGTTTGATTTTGTTTCTCTGATTGCCGATTTTGTATATCAACACTGCAGTAATCGATATCCTCAATCACCAAAATCGAACGATTTGTAGTAGACAACAACACCCTCTTCAATTTATAGTCAGTGGAAAGATTAGTAAGCCCCAAATCATACACATTAAACTTAAGATAATTAGCCATGGCTGCGATCAAGCTCAATTTCCAGTGCCGGGAGGACCATACAACAAGTAGACTTTTTCCAAGCCTTCCCCACCTTCTTATAAAACTCCCTCCTCCTCACAAACCTATCCAAATCCTCTACAATCATTTTCTTAAGCTCAGGGTCCATTGCCATCGTCTCAAAAGTAGCAGGGTGCTCTAGGTTTATCAATCCCCAAGTACTGTTGTTGCCATCATCATACGAACATAAATGACAAGAGTAAAGCTTCACAACCTTCTCTTCTTCTTTAATGGCATTTGGCCTAGCAAGAATGTAAGGCAAGAAGGCGTCTATCACTTTGTCTTTGTGTTTTTTGTGAAATGTCAGCTTAAAGAACCGGTGCTTCAAACTTTCCCTAAAGTACTCCTTTACCTTCTTGGTTTCCATGACATTAAAGCGCCACCTGAGCTTAACATTATCGAAAGTGTTGGCGACTTCTTCATCTTTGTCGATGGAAAATCAGATGGTCTATTGGCGATGCATTTTTCCGACATGGAGGCATTGAGTGCCAGGATTGTTGCCAATGGTTTGGAGGTAGACCTCAGTGGCATCATAGACCTGGTTGCGTGATAAGCTCATATTTATATATATATATATATTTTTTACATCAAATTTACTTATCTTTTCTTAGTTAATTCCTTATATTTTTGAGCTATTTACTTTGTTTTTGTGTTTTGTAGGATTCGTCAAGCAAAGAAAAGAAAAATAGCACAAGTGGGATTTTAAGTAACAAGTTCGTCAAAACTGCATGTGCAGGTCAGCTGACTTTGGAAGAAAGTTACGGACAAGTCAGAATGAATTAGAGAATGAGCCTTATATGCTTGGAAAGCTACATATGTCTATTTTTTGGAGCATTTCATGGATTACTAATATCATTTTTCTAGAAGAGGTTATGGACATTTTAACACTTAAAGGTTCCAAGAGGCTGAACAGTTTGTAACTGACAAGAAAGCATTGAAAGCAATAAATCCACTAAAATTAGCAGCCAAAACTGATGCAGCTAAGAACAAGCCAGTTGACACCTATTCAAATATCAGAGGAAATGGAAAATTAAGTGGGAGTAATTGGCATAAAGGCTGCCCAAAGAGTTACAATTGTTTTACCATTTTCTCTCACTTATTGTCATCACTAAATGACTGTTAGTGGGGTGAGTTATGGAGAAGAAACTGTGGCAGCAAACAAGAACCAAAAAGGGCTGCAGGTTGCAGTGGCAAAGCTAGGAAAAAAATGAAAGGAAAGGAAGAAAAAAAGGTAAGGCTGCTGCGTTGGGGAAGGAAGGAAAGGAAGGAGGAAATCTTGGCATTCTCTTATTTTGGTTTTATCTTCTCAAACTCATGTCTTTCTTTTGGTTTTATTTGAGAATAATGTGTAACTAAATTTTTAGTAGTTAGGGGCTGTTTTGAAGCCCCGAATATGATTGCAAGTTTGTTATAACATTTCGTTTGAATTACTTTTATGAATGGATGAAAATTGGTTCACTACTTGTCTCATTGATGAATTCTTTATGTGTTTTCTACGGATGCATACTTACTAAGTATATCTAGGATTCTAATGCTATGAATATGTGTGTGCCTACCCTTGTCGAATGAGGACCGACATATGTTCTAGAGTAGTACTTGTTAATTGCGATTAACATGTGAACCAATTTCTAGGATAAGTAAGACAACACTAGTACTTACGATGCCTTGTGATGACTCAAACTCTTTTTGTTCTTAATGATTTCTACTTGTTAAATCTATGAACACGCCATTCTAGATTGCACGTTAGGGACTAAGTTGAGTTGAAAACACCATTCTCTTAACATACTACATAAGAAAGAGTAATATGTTGAGTTCTAACATTGAGCCAACTTGAGCATCTTCATCCAGAATAGAAGGAATTTGAATGAAACATAACATGTTTGCATGATTATTTGGTGGTGGATAGCAATTCCCCTAACTCGTTTTTCTTAATTTGTGAACTACTTGAAATCTGTTTTTGTCCTGTTTTTATTCGATTTAATTTAAATAGCAAATCAACTCCAAAAATCCCAAAAATTTGTGTGCGTATAACTCTGTGTGTCTAGTGTTTGCATATGAAATTTCGTAAACTTTAGATAAGTGTAAGTCGGTCTAATAATTATTTTTTGGTGGCTGGCCAGTAGGGACGGACAGCCCAGTTTTTGTGACATTTTAAGTAGTTAGATAAAACAATTTTCTGCGGGAAAGACCTTTATTTTTATATGCTACAATTGATAAATCTTAGTGTTAATAAGGAAAATCAATAGGACATTTGTGTGATACTTTGTGGTGTGTTTTTAATCCTATCATTGCGTACTGCTCCGTAGAGCTCGTCAATGATGAGAGTGAGGTTAGAGGAGAGTGGAGTGAAAAGGGATTTGAGTTTTGAGTACACGTACGAGCGGACGGCGGGGATGAGCTTTCGGACCAACACCATGGATCCTGCAACGGAGATATAGGCTGAGAACAAGGAGGATGCTAGCGTGAGTAGATTTTTTGGATCAAAGGAAAACATTTTGGTAATTTCAGATTGGTTTGTTGAGAGATGGATGAAGATACCATTGGAAAATTATCTACTCATCAACCAACAAATTAGACTTCATACAAGATGCTTAATTTTATTTGATCCCCTCGTCACCACAAACGAACCCATCAAATTATCTGCTTAATAATTAAGCAACCTAATCCGCCGCCACCGTGAGTGGAAAGGACACCCAAATACAATGCATGAGAAATAAGGGAGACGAAATTGGACAAAGTAACACAATAAAATGTATCGAATTCAGCACATATATTATACATCTTAGTCCATTCATGTTAACCCCTATTAACCAATTAAACATTCTCCAACATCCGCCTTATAGAAAAGATTGATATTCCACCTATCACATAGGGTTAAGACGGCACCCCACTAGTTTTGAAATTTAACTTGACCCCTTTTATTTTTTAAATTTATGATTAACGTCTGTTTAACTCTAAATTACGAAAAAAAGAATTCGAACTTGAATGCAAAGTATGAAGCACATTGCAGACCTAATTTAGATTTAGAATGAATTACCATATCGCTTTGTCAAAGAAAAAAAGGTAGGTTAAACTCTTGTGCTGCAATTCCATCTAATTTCCTGTGTTTACATTCACGAATTCATAAAACCAAGTTCAGCAAGTCCTTAAATCACATAAGATTCACAAAAGAGAGCTTGAAACTAGCCAGAGATTTCCGAAAGGGTTTAAGGGTTAATTATCTAAGATTGAAACATTAAACTAGGACATGGGAGGTGCCAGGCAACAAGCATCAGGTTTCGACCATGGAAGACGGATGTGCAGCAACTTTTTGATCCCTTTTCTGTGCCGCTGTTGCTTCTTAACCGACGGCAGCGATGTTTCCTTCTTCTTGCTCTCAGCCTTCTTACCTTTGAGCAGGTTGACAAGTCCTTGAAGAGCCACATTAGCATCATCACTCTTCATCAGCTCCTCAGCAACCTCTGCAGGGGTGACCTCTGTGCTCTCAATCAGCCCTTCAATTTCTCCGCAGAGGCGATGGCGGTTGTGTTCTTGAATGCCAAGGTAGTTAGAGGCCAAGATCCTGTACCCAGCTGTGGTGCAATAGGACATGTGAATGTGCAGGTCCATTCGACCCGGACGCAGCAATGCCGGGTCCAGTCGGTCTTTGTGGTTCGTGGTGAACACAAGGATCCTCTCATCTCCACAGCTTGACCACAATCCATCAATAAAGTTCAGTAGACCCGAAAGTGTCACCTGCAAATTAAACATTAAGTCCATGTAAAGTTGCAACCCAATGCCAATGCCCATTTGAAAATAACATGATAAACAGGGAGGATGCAACGTACTAATAGGCTACTACAATAAAAATTTGAAACTTAGAGCTTCATTTGGCAAAACATTGAACCTTGATTCATCAAACAAAGGGCATCGAAAAAAAAGAGTACTAACCCGGCTCCTGTCCGAATCGGAATCCGAGTCCGAATCCGAATCCGAATCCCGGTTGCCAACATCCACCCTGCAGCAATCAATGTCCTCAATTACCAAAATAGAACGATTGGTAGTGGACAGCAAAACCTTCTTCAACTGAGAGTCACTGTAAATGCTATTGAGCTCCAAATCGAACACATCAAACTTGAGGTAGTTAGCCATGGCGGCGATCAAGCTCGATTTACCCGTCCCTGGCGGCCCGTACAGCAAGTAGCCCCTTTTCCAAGCTTTCCCCACCTTCTTATAAAACTCCTTCCTCCTCACAAACCTCTCCAAATCCTCCACGATTATTTTCTTCATCTCCGGGTCCATCGCCATGGTGTCGAAAGTCGACGGGTGCTCCAGGTTCACAGACCCCCATTCGGAATTCGCCACGTCATCGTCGTTGTATCTCGACCAGAGGTGGCGGGTGTAGAGCTTCACCGCCTTCTCCTCTGCTTTAATGGCGTCGGCCTGAGCAAGAACATAAGGCAGGTACGAGGAAATCACCTTGTCCATGTATTTCCTACGAAATGTCAGCTCAAAATACCGCCTTTCGGATGTACTGTCGTTCTTCCCCTTATTGGTCTCCGAGATAAACCGCCACTTGAGCTTGACGGCATCGTCGAAGGTGTCGGAAACTTCCTCGTCCTTGTCGATGGCGACGCCGATGTTCTTCTTCCGGGGAGCTTTGCTGACGCGGAGGCGCTCGGTGTGGGGCCCGATCTTGGTCCGCAGGTAAACCTCGGCTGCGTCGTAGACTTGGTTGCGGGTCATGCCAGAGAGCTCATCGACTACGAGAGTGAGGTCACGGGAGAAGAGAGGAGCAAAAAGGTAATTCAGGGCTTTGTAGATGTAGGAGCGGAAGGGGGCGGGGATGAGGTCGCTCGCGACGGAGCGGAACAGCATCATGAATGTGGTGATGGAGGCGTAGACGGAGAACATCGACGACGCCGTCGTCGGCATCTGGTCTTTCAGTTTGTTGAGAGAGAACATTCTTGACGTTTTATGGAAAATGGCGGCTCTGTTTTTAGAATTTGAGAGAAGTGATTTTGGTGCAGAGTTTTTATAGATGTAATGATCTTTTGGCTAACAGAAGAAATGGTATGGACTGTTTAGTAATTTTATCATAAGTTGATGCGAATGGAGAGGAAAGATTCGGGTGATGCTGCAGCTGCGATTTCTTGGGGCCAAAGAAAGGAAAAGGTGGAATAAAAGTAAAACCGACAATGTCATGGACTTGGGAACTTGACTTTGGCGTCGGCAATTCAGTAGCTATTATTAGTAGTGTAATATTAGGCAGATTAAATTTGAAAACTAAATGATGTGTCAACAATAAAAAATAAGCACATTAATCAACACTTAAGTAATAATTCAATCATCAACTTTTATGCTATTTAATTTACAAAATTTAACCCAAGGGGGCACCTTTCTCCCGAAGTTACGGGGCTATTTTGCTGAGTTCCTTAGAGAGAGTTGTCTCGCTTCTCTAGGTATTCTCTATCTACCCACTTGTGTTGATTTTGGGTACAGATACCCATTTGTTGAAGGTCGTTAGAGCTTTTTTTTTTTTTTGAGTATGGCATGGACTTTTAGTCGGAACCTTATTAAAAATGGGAGCGTATGGATTTGTTCGGATGAATATGGAATTATTTCCCCATGCCCATTCTATATTTTCTTATATAAATTTAGTCTTGCTAGCATTACCCTTGTTATTAAGTCTCATCAACCGTTCATGCTTTCTGTTTGATTTGGGACTCTTTAAATTTTGAGTATTGACTACATGTCAAGTATGTTTTCGATACTTGGACCTGTCGGCTAGCACCTTCACCTCATGCTAGCTGTGAACATTGCAAAAATTTTAGGGAAATACCCAAAATGGGACAATTTCTTAATCTTAAGAAAGAAATAGGACAAACCGGTTATGCACACCATGCACAGAATCAAAATTACTAAAACACCCACATATAAATGGGTTATTCCTCCCATTTTCTGATTTCTCTCTCTGCTCTCTCATTTCCCCTCTCTCTCTCTTCTCTCACTTTCTGTCTCTCTACTCTCTCCCTTCCTCAGATCTTTAAGCTCAGATTTTGAAGAGATGGAAGTCCAAAAGAAGGCGAGATGAGTGAGTTGGGCTTTGGGTTCACCTCATACCCTGATTTCGAACAAAGTGATGTGAGAGAGAGAGAGAGGTCAGAAGAGTGAGTCACCATATTTGTTGTTTTGGCCAGAAAGTTCCATTTTTTTTGCGACTAAAGCTTTGGCAGGCATAGTAAGGTATGGTGTTTAGTTCCAAATTCCTTCATCAATGATTTATGGAATAAATGAGTTGTTTGTAAGATGAATTAATACTTAGAAGTTAAATTAGGGTTTGCATTTCATGTTGGGGCGTATGGGTTGTGGAATAAATTTCAAGTTTTGACGTGCTACAAGACTAGGATGGAACAATTTCTAGTTCAAGTGTTCAATTGCAGAATTTTGTGTGAAACTTTTTTCGTAATGTGCAGGTGGTGTGCATGGTTATACCTTAATATGAGAAGTGGGTAGACATGTTGACACGCCGGACCCTGATATTATCCAACATACTAGGGTAGGCATGTGCCGGCCGACACCTGAAGGTGACGAAGCCATATTAGGATGCATGAGAACTAAAAACAAATAACCAACATATATAAAACTTGTAAATTTAATTATAATGAGTATGCAATTGTGGAATGTGTTCAGAGTATACAACTAATCCGAGACACTAAAAAGGAATAATATAAAATTTAATGAACAAAAGGATAGGTCCTACACCGAGTGGACTCGAAGATGCTGAATCTGGAGTGTCTTGATGCCGATTCTAAGTCCTAAGGGGGAGCAAAACAAAACATGAGTGGATCAAGTTGATATATAAGTAATACTAAAACAGTTATTCTTCAATGTACCAACCCCCAAAGTTTAAGAAAACTCAATAGTGTAATATGTAATAAGTTTTTCGAAAACCCTAGTCATAAAACTTAATAAAACATATATCATATATAATGTGCTTAGTAGTGGTATCAGTATCACCCGAGGGCATACAGAACTCTTCATTCGCCCGAAGGCCTTCATTCACCCGTAGGCCCCTACAACACCCAGCCGAAACCATATATAGATATCATTCGCCCGTAGGCATATAGTGACCATTAGATAAGCACAAAAATCATTAAACATAATCTTTCCAAAATATATCTCATTGGAGCTCAAATAGCTTAAACATCATATCATAAATCATGTTCATCAATATCTTAGTGAAAGTAAATCCAGGAAAGCATGAAATATCAGTAAGCGTAAATCCAATTTACTCATAAACGTTTCATAAAACGTAACCATTAAATCATGATTTTCATGTATACATTTCTAATAGTAAAATCATGCATTTTGGAAGGGGTCCATTCACAGATACTTCGCCATCGAAGAGCCGTGCAAACTATGGAAGACGGAAATGCCACAAACAATTGCACCTACGCACATAAAGGGACCAGTTAATAAAACTATACTAAAACCAATTGAATTTGGGAAAACGGACGTCGGATTCGTAATCAGGGTGTCGAATTACCCTAAGAAGAGTCATGGGTAAATTTCGTAAAAGTCAACAAAAAGTCCACATAGAATATTCTAGGAATATTCCAGAGAATATGCCTTGACATAATTTATTCCCTAATAGAATATTCCATCCGAGTCGGGTCGGGATGATCCGGTTCGGATTTGGGTTGGGTCGAAACTGGGTTTGGGCCGGGTAGCTGGGTTGGGCCTAGTTAAAGAGTTAGGCCCGGTTTCTAGGTTTGGATCAGAGTTTTGGGTTGGGCTAAGTTACTAAGATTGGGCTGGGTTGGTTGGGTTTGGGTTAAGTAGCAGGGTTTTGGGCTAGGGTTTGGAATAAGTTTGGATTTACGGGTCAAGTCGACCTATTTCAAGTCGAGTTGGCTGGTTTTGACGAAGAAAAATACCAGAGCTTTCTAGCTCCGTTCAACCCCAAAACTTAACCAAAATAAGTCATACAATATACCAAATTGAAGCCCAAAGAATAAGGATTTGAATCATACCATTAGTTTCCTCAATTATGGCCGGAGTTGGCCGGAAAACGGCCTGGAAGTCACGGAATTCTTGCCAGAATCTGGGGAAGTCTCCTCGAGGTGTTTCTTTGTAGTTTCGACAACCAAAACATGTACAAAAGAGTTAGTCTTCAACCAGAGACGAGGGAAGGACAACCAAAAGGGTTAGAACCTTACCCTTATGTTGGGAAGTCGAGGAACTTGTCAGCGATGGTAGCTTTGCCGCGGGGATGATGTTGCAGGGTTGAGAGGGGAGTTTAAGGGGAGTAACGAGATGGTTGTTAATGGTTGAAACTCGTCGAAACATGGCGGTGGGTACGGTGTTATCCTCTGCGTTTGTAAAGAGAGAGAAAAGAGAAATGAGAGAGAGTTGAGGGAGAGAAGTAAAAGAGAGAACCTTACGAGGAGATAAAAGAGAATGGAAGGAAAAATGGGATGGGGGCCAAACTAAAACGAGTGGGCCCCACAAGGCACACAATTTAAGACCTAAAAAACAACGTTTCAAAATATCTAACCCAACCATAATGAAAATACAAAATTATCCTTCCGTTCTGTAAGAATCGAGGACGGGTGACACGCCCCGATCCCGATGTCTGAAGGACAGCGGGGTGGCCATGTACTAGTCAACACCCAAGGTGATGCAAGCCATTTAATAAATACATATGCCGAGAACATGTGAAACATGCATATAAATTTTGCTCGAACTACATAATAATAATATTCAGCCGTCAATAAAATGATGGTGATAATGCATAACATGTTCAGAGCATACATCTAATTTATAATATAAGTGGATGGTGTAACAGAAAGTGCTATTACAAGTGATGTCAAAAGTAGAGAGGATGACACGATATCATTGGTAAGGGAATGCCTTATAGCTTAGATCGTATGCTTCGTTCCTATGTCTTGAGGGGGCGCAAAACAAACATGAGTGGACCAAGTTGATATATATATATATATATAATACTGAAACCGTTATTCAACAACGTACTAACCCCCCAAGGTTTTATGAAAACTCAATACTATGTAATAGATTTTTCCAAAAACCCTAGCATGCCATAAAACCTTCGTAAAACATATATCATATATAATGTGCTAAATAGTGGTATCAGTATTGCCCGAAGGCATAGAGAACTCTTCATTCGCCTGAAGGCATATAGGAAACTTCATTCGCCCGTAGGCTCCTACATCACCCACCCGAAGGCATATATATAGTGACCACAAGATAAGCACAAAAATCAATGAATATAATTTTTCCAACATAAGACATATATCTCAATAGAGCTCAGTAGCTCAAACATCATATCTCAAAACATCTTCATAGTATATAACCATCCATCATATATACTACAAAGAACGTAAAAATCGATAAAGTATGGTATTCCAAAATATTCTTAGTAAAGCATGATATTTCATAAAGTGTAAATCCAATTTACTCATAAACGTTTCATAAAACGTAACCATTAAATCATGCTTTTCATGTATGCATTTCTAATAGTAAAATATGCATTTTAGAAGGGGTTCACTCACAGATACTATGTCGTCGAAGTGCTGTGCGAAATAGAAGGACGGAATCACTGTTAAAAAACGCACCTAAGCACATAAAGGGTACAATTGATAAAACTCTACCATAACGATTGAATTTCAGAAAACGAACGTCATAAACGGATTTAGGACATCGAAAAACATAAGGAGGGACCTCAGGTACCCCCACGCGCTGCCGCAAGGCGGCGACCCCAATGGCCACACGTTGAGATGGATCGCCAGAAAGTTAGCCAGAAAAGCCACCAGCACGGCCCAAAGGCCTAGGTTCAAAGGGATTTTGGGTTTAGGTTCTAACGGGCTTTGGGCTTGAAAGCCCGGCCCAAAGCTCTGGGCTAGAGGACCCGATTTAGGGTCTCGGGTCGGGTATGACTCGATTTTGCGAGGGAGAAGACTGGAGCTTCC